GAAGTGGCCCCTCCTTCCTCACCCCCTTTTCCCATGCCTGCACCCTTTATTGCCATAACTGAGTCTTGACATGTGAAGCCAGCAAGCCAAGTAAAAAAGGTACCAGGAAGCCCAGGAGCAGTCAGAGTGTTTACTATTTAAAATAAAAAAAAAACAAAAACAGAAAAAACAAACCTTGCTATGGCCCAGTGCAGTGGCTCACTCCTGTAATCCTAGCTACTTGGGAGGTGGTGACCAGGAGGACTGGGCTTCCAGGCCAGTCTAGGCAGAAAACTTCTTTTCAAGAGACCTCATCTCACCAATAAGAAGCTGGGTGTGGGAGAGCACCTGTCACCCCAGGTCTGCAGGAGGCAGACATCAGAGGATCGAGAGATCCTACTTGAGAAAGAAAGCCAAGTGGGCAGCAGGCACTTGCCTAGCAAGCCCGACTTTAATCCCCAGAACAGCAAAAACGAACAATCCCAAAACAAAACCAGCCCCCAAACTAGCTCTTGTTTTCCCAGCACAGTAAGATGCTCTCCAGACCCTTTGCCAGGGCCTGTGAAGAAAATGTAATTCACTGCCTGGCTTTTTGCAGCCCTTTTCCTTTCCTCATCCCTTTCCTTCTTTCTGGCCCTCAACCTTGTTGCCCCTTCCTGCCTCAGGGCCTTTGTAATTGCTGTACCCCTATGGGATCTGTTCTTTGCTTCTCAGCATGACTGGCTCCTCCTCTTCAGTGGATCTCAGCTCCTATAATAACACTAGGACGCCTAAGATGCCTCCTCTAGAACCTGTCACTGACCATCCGTCGCCCGATTTGTATGCTTTAAAGTAGGCATCATGTTCATTTATCTTGCTTGATCAACTTTCCCCAGAAAGTCAAGTCCTGGTATAACCTGGAGGCCCTGAATTCTGAAGGTCCAGCCTACAGCCTGGCACTACGTCCAGCTCTGATAAATGCCCGTGGAAGGCCCACCTTAGCACTGCAGTGTGCAAGAGACCCGGGGAGCCCTGCTGGGAGAGGAAGGGTTAAACACTCCCACATTCCAGGCTCTCTCCCATTCTGGACCCAGACACTCACCTCCCATTGCCAGGGGGTGTGCAAGGTGTGTGGGAAAGACCCTCTCCAGAAGCAGAGAAGCGTGCTAAGGATGGGAAGTAGGAAGGTGTTTCTCTACAGCAGTGGGTCTCATGCTTGAGTCAGAGTCCCCTGACTCGAGCCAGGCCAGAGGCATGAATCCGCAGAGAAGGCCTGCGGGCCACCAGAATTCCTGCCTGCACCCACGTGAGGCTGCAGAGGGTTTGTGTTTTTTTTTAATTTCCTTCATAATTAAGTATTTCAGTTTTACTCATTTGCCTCAATGACTTGAAGAGCTTGAGCCTTTAGAATAACTGTTTTTTGGAGGGGTAGGGAACAAGGTCTTGCTGTTTAGCCAAGGCTAAACTTGCAATCCATCATCCAGCCTCTGCCTCTTGAGTGGGAAAGCACATTCTTAAGTAACTGCAATTCTGGGAGACAATTCTTGGTGCATGCATGTGTGTGTGTGTAGCATTCCCAAAAGTACACACACAGCTGCAAATCAAAAGTACAAATTTAAAACTCAGGTCTGATAAGCCAGTGGTCCTGGAGCTGGTGTGTGTGTGCAAAGGCTGAACCTTTCTAAGAAAATTCCAGAAGAGTCCAGGCTACAAGCAGCAGCTACGAGCCCTGGGCTCTGGGACCACATCTTCCAGGTGATGCTGAGCCTCCCAGAGGGGCAGAGCTCTGGGGCCTGGGAGCTGTCACTGACCGCTCTGGTTCAGGTCACCACCTGACAAAGGATGGGCCAGCCCAGAGCCCAGGGGTCCATCTGCTCCATTCTCAGGTCTGTGTGACTTGGTTTATGACCTGGGCCAGGCCTCCCTCTGCCTCTCAGGTCTGTGCTCCCACACAGTGATCAACAGGAGAGGACAAAGGTCTTGAGAAGTGAAGCCTCTACTTCTTTTATTTCCAAGGCTCTGTGTTCAACCCACTCATCCGCCAGGGCTGGGATTCTGGGGAGAAGTTTGAGGCCCTGCCACTTTCAGCCTTAACAAAAGGAGGCATGAGAAGAAATAATTCCAAGCCTTGGCCAGGCTCAGTGTTTCTATTTCCTTTTCAGGGAACTAGAGCATCATGAGCTTCCTGATCAATCTTCCAGGAAGACTCAGGGCAGCTCCGTGCTCTTTAGCTCCACCTTTAGTGGCCATGAGGGTGCAGTTTGGTTTGGAAGGCTCCACCTACAAATGGACTTGATGCATTAGGTCAAAGGAGATACACTGGGCAGATGACTGCCCCCAGTGACAGCCAGGCCCTCCCTCACCCCTGGAGGTATGAATGCAACTTCAAGCGCAGAGCTGGATGTTGCAGGTGGGTCCTGAACACAGCCTCAACCCATTGGTCCTTCTAGCATGGAGCCAGGGGCTGGATGGGCTGAAGGAGATGACAGGACCATGGAAACCAGATGTTCTGCCACTGAATTCCAAAGGAGGATGGGGCAGGAAGCCATGGAATGCGGGCCTACCACTTCCGCGGCTGAGAAAGGCAAGAAAACAGATCTGCTTCCAGAATTTGGGGAAGAAAATGAAGCCCCAGCTAGATTTTAGTTTAGCGACCCACTTAAGACCTTCAGAACCACAAAGGGAAGGCAGTTTGCTAGGAAGGGGACAGGAGTAGCTCCTGGAGACTGTGTTCAGAGTACCATGCACCCACTGGGGATCCAGAGAGAGACACCCCCCCACACACACACTTTGAGAAGCACCACCTCCCAGCTGCTTCTGTCTCTGCAAGCACAATCTATGTTCAGAGAACCCAAGTTTTGCTGGTGTCAGCACAAACATTCACTTTCACCTGCTCTTTTTACAGATGTGGAAACTGAGGCCCAGGAATCCTGCTCCCCATCCCACTGCCCCCACCATCTACCCCTGCAGCTGGGAGGAAGGGCGACAGACGCTTCCATTCAACTGTCTCATTATCAGCTTTTCCAATTCTATTTGGTGTTTTTAACACAAGCAGTTGCACAGCCTGTCGATAGCTTTGTGATAATTCCATAATGACCCAATCCTGCAATCACGCAGCCGCTCTGACTCCAACTGCATTTGTGGAGAGAGTAACTGGGTAACTTGTGGGTTGTTACCCCATTCCCCAAGTGCCATCCACAGTGCAATACAAAGAAGCTAATCTTAGAAATACTTGTTAACTTCAATGCTAATTGCTAAGTCACTGGCTAGAACATGCCATTCAATGGATCTGAAACATGCCAGGTAATTATCTGGTCTTATGCACCCTGTAAAATAAAACTGGGGTCCAAAATGTGTCCCAGTTGGTTGGCTGGCACCCAACCACCGACCTCTGCCAGTCAATCATCCGCATGGAAGCAATTAATCAAATTACTCAAATATTTGGTTGCAATCAGATGTTCCAATGACAAATCTAGATGGCCAACAAGTGGGTAGTTGTGAATGGGCACGCGCAGAGCCCTTCCCCCCATCAACAGATAACAATACAATCAGAGGACATAAATATCACTTTTTTTGGGGGGGCAGCTCATCTGGCATCCTCACACAAAATACCAAAACACTTCAGAGACCAATTACATGTCCCAAAGCTGCAGAGCCTTTATGGTGGTGCCAGGAAAAGGCTGGGCTCTTTGTGAATCTGTAGGTAGAGGCTGCACGTGGGGAGGGGGCTCGGAGTTTGCACAATGGGGGTGTGTGAATGCAGCTGGCAGGCCGGCTTTGCAACACATTTTCATAAGGACCACTCTCTTTTCCCCAGGGGTGGCTGCTAACTGGGTCCATCCATTTCCAATTAGCCAGCTCCTAGGAAGGGGAGGGAGGAGAGAGGCAAGGGTCTGTGGTAAATGTTGGGGTGTGGGGGAGATTAGAGAACAAGGATACAGGAGGTCCTTAGAGGGGTCCGGAAATAATGTATTTCAAAGGTCTAATTTGGCGGGGGGGGACAAAGCAGAGTTAACAGAGCAGAAAGTAAAGAGATGCCAGAGAGGAAGCTGGGGTACCAGCTTAAGGTGGGAGCAGCAGGAAGGAGAGCAGGAGTAAGGGAAAGCTGACTTTCCAACCAGACTTCTGCATTCCAAGTAAAGGGCTCCTGACTTCCTCGATAAGATGAAGAAAGGAAGCTAAGAGTCTCGCTGGAAAGGGTGTAGAGCTGGCCACGGACGGTCCACAGATCAACTGTCATGCTACGGCCACCGACCTGCCCCAAGGCACTGCCTACCTTCCCACTCAGGGGCTCATTCTCTGCGCCCAGGAAAACCACCTACGTCACTCTGGCCAATGGGTGGATGCAAGGTAGCATTTCACAGCAGAGACCTGGACATCTTGCCATACTTGGGGACCCTAGACCTCCGTGGGAACCAGCCCCAGACTCTGCTACTGGGGATAAGAAGCCCCGTGGATCGGAACCAAGGCACCAGCAGACAGGTGTGCAAGGGCATCCAGCTTCCCCTCTACCAGCCAGCCAAACAGCCCCCTATGAGAGCCCACACACTGAGCCCAGCTCAGGCTGGAGCCACCCACAAGACAGAAAAGCCTCTAGTATGGGGTGGGGATTTTGCTACTGAGCAAAATCCAAAAATACTGAGACTACCTCATGAGGGCAGCCCAGACACTGCATTCCTTACTTGAGAGTCACTTTTCCCCTGATATATGAGCAAAACCCTCAATCCCTTACATAAACTCACCATCCCGGACTCCAGTCAACCCACCATCTACAAAGTCAGTGGTGACGGATGACAATGCACCTGCCATGATTGCGCTAAGGCTCAAAAGTAAACTCAAGGAGAGTCTGTCATTCTGGGGGGCAGATTCAAGAAGAGACCTTTGGGGGGCATCTCAGGCCCCCCAAATGCCATGACATACCCAACTTTGGAGAGGTTCTATTGGCTGGGATGAGGAATGGCCCACAACTGCACTAAGCCACCCACTAAGTCGGGCAGAAGGAAGCATGGTGAAGCCACGGCGAGTGGCGGGGCGGGACTCACCTGGTGATGATGGCCAGGTGGGGCGGGCTCATGCAGGCCCCCATGAAAAGCACCACGTTCTCGTGCCTCGTCTGCCTGTAGGCCATCACCTCCCGCTTAAAGGCCTTGAGCTGGTCCTCATTGTCCCTCTCGATGTCGATCAGCCGGATGGCCACCTCGCCGTGCCAGCGGCCGTGGTACACCTGCCCAAAGCGGCCCTTGCCGATGAGCTCGCCGATCTCCAGCTGCTCGAAGGGGATGTCCCACTCCTGCAGGAAGATGCTGGTCTGGCTGGCCTTGCGTGGGAAGCTCCGGGCTGAGAGCAGGGACAGGTTCATCTCCTCGAAGTCGTCCTCGGACTCCTCAGCTTCATCATGGCCCTCTTCATTCTGTAGGAGGAGAGAACGATCAGCCCCGCGCTGCCTCCAGCTCTCCCCACCCTGTGGTCCTGCCTGCTCTGCAAGCCACGTGCTCTGGGGAGGGCTTGACATGTCTCCACATTGCCACCTTCGCTCCTGGATGGTGATGGGTGGCTCTGGTCTAGGATCACAGAACCATGGAAATCAGGGTCAGCCAACTTTTTTGGTACTACTGGGTAAACTGGAGCTTGAAGCAGAGAAATGCCAAGGGAACAACCACCCATTCTAGTTCTCTGGACTTTGGTGATATGTGTGTGTCTTGGGGCTTGAACTTAGGGCGTTGGCACCATCCCTGAGCTTTTGGGCCTGAGGCTAACAATGCTCTACACTTGAGCCATAGCTCTACTTCTAGATTTTTGGTGGTTAACTGGAGATAAGAGTCTTGTGGATTTTCCTGCTTGGTCTGACTTTGAATCCTGAGCCTCAGATCTCAGCCTTCTGAGTAGCGGGGGTTATACGCATGAGCCACTGGTGATGGGCTTGTTTTGGTGACACATCAAAAGTGATACATCTCAGTGTCACACCTTCTCTCCCAGGTGGCCCTGGGATAGCTCTTGTTGGAGGTCACAGGCAGCCAGACCCCGGGGGGGGGGGGCACGGGGGAACAATAATTCAGGGCTCTGGACTCCTGTGATCCAAGGGTGTCCTATTCCATCCACCCTGCTGTTTTGATGCTCATGGTGTATATGATTGAGGTGACTGGCTAAAATATGGGTGTGTCTGTATGTGGCACACGACAGCCACCATTACAAAGTGTCTTGCCTCCCCTGGGGAATTTAGAATCAATGATTCTGAAATTTGGAGAAGGCAGAGCATAAAGGTTCACAAGGTAGCAGCAAGGCAAGCAAGAGACCCAAGAGATCCAGCTATATCCTGATCTACAGAGCCAAGAGCATCAGCCAACCGGGATCCTGTATTTTTACTACGAATGCCACGTGACTCCAACACGCTCAGACATGACCATCCTGAGGGATAACCACTCAAGGTCTCAGAATGCACCTGTCCAGCATGGTGTTTGCAGTGCCTGGGACCTTGGGATCCTTTTGCTGGAACAGCTGTTTCCTGAACCAATGGGGCATCCCAGAGGCCCTGACCTGGTCAGATGACCTGAGAAGGTGGGCATAGGCTGTCCTCACTCTCAATCCCTTGGCAAGCTGCCCACCAAGCCACCTCGGAATCAACCCGGGAAATGTTGGCTTCCCAAGATCATTTTCCTAAGGACCTCCTGTAGTCCCAGAAAGAGACACAATTTCCCTGGAGACCTAGAGAACCTGAATTCTTGGAAGCCCAGAGCATAGTGGCAGAGCGGAGTGCTCAGACTCCACAGTTCTGACCTGGGAGACTTCATTTCTTCCTTCCACAACCTGGGTTGGGGGGAAGGTGGGGGAGGGAAGTTCCAGAACATTCTCACTGCCCTACCAAGCCCAGCATCCCTGGAGCCCCCAACTCCTCATCCTCTTTGCTAGTCAACCAGTCCTGAGCTCATTTTTCAACTACAAATGCAAATCTCTGGCCAACTTCCACACAACTGGCTTTCTCCCCCCCCCTCACCCCAAGGCACACACCATGTAACATAATGGCCCATTAGGCTCAGGTGGGGAGGGGCCGAGCTCCTTAACTGTCCTGGAGTTCCAACATCCATCCAACAGCCACCCCTCCCCCATGTACCCCAAGCCCTCTGCAGCATCAAAGGCATCAGCTGGTCCCTGGAAAAAGCCACTTCCCTCCACTCCAATTCTCACCTCCGAGGTTGGCTCCACTTCAATTTGAAGTAACGGGTTTCCTTCCAAGCTTTAAAGAAAGAAAAAAAGCAATGTGACCCTTAGGTGAAAGGTAAGTCCATGGATAAATTGAAGCTGGCCACAAAGTTCTGCCTACCAAGTCATTCTCTCACAACATTTGGGTCTAACATCATCCCTAACCTGGCATGCTCACAAAGAATTTCAACAGATTCTGGAACGTTCAAGGCTTGTCTTTCTTTATTGCTTCAGTTCCAACTAAGAAGCTTCCATATAAATTGGCCTTCATTCATTCTAAGGTTCACTCACCATCAGACTCTCCTGGGAGCATATTAGTATTCATTTGTTCATTCATTTGTGCATTCATTTATCCACTCATTCAACCAGAATTCTGCTCCAGAAGCATTCCTGAGGATTTAGAGTTGACCTAGGCTTCAGCTCCTCACTTCAAGTACTACTGCATGACTACTGAAAGACCTAAAGCAAGTTGTGTGATTAAAAGTGACAAGGGCCACCAGCACCGGTGGCTCACGCCTATAACCCTAGCTACTCAAGAAGCTGAGATCTGAGAATCACGGTTCAAAGCCAGCCAGGCAGGAAAGTTCATGAGTCTCTTATCTCCAATTAACCACCACAAAACCAGAAGTGGCACTGTGGCTCAAAGCGCTAGCCTGGAGCAGAAGAAGCTCAGGGACAGTGCCCAGGTCCAGAGTTCAAGCCCCATAACTAACAACAACAACAAAAAAAAACAAATGACAAGGGCCAGTAGTTGATGAGTTCAGGAAGTGGAGTATGAATTCCCAGGAGAGAGTGTTGCTGGATATATATGCAAGCTCCTGGTATTTGGTTTGGAATTTGTCAAGCACATGCAATCAGGACGTGGTGGGTGAGAATGAGAAGACTTCACAGGCGTGTGTGCGCGCGCGCGCGTGTGTGTGTGTGTGTGTGTTGTGTTCAAAAGCTCATGAGCTATGCACATGGTGGGTGCCAGTGCTGGAGCCCACTGTGCTTGCCTTGAGAGCTGTGGGGTGTGTCCTGTACAGAGCTTGTCTTGTGTGTCCTGGAGTATCTTTTGTAGTCTCCAGGATATGTGTTTGTGGTGTGTGGCTACAAAGCAACACCTGGACTACTGAAGGCGCACAGAGTTGAGACAGGTGGACAACAGAATAATACAAAAGCCACACCCCTTTTGCATTTCTCCAATGGGAACTCAGCAGATTCCCCGACAGCCTCATCATTGGGTGGGAGGGATGCCCATCCTGATCCACAAGACCCTGGGAATCTGTCCACATTCTGGAGCAGAGTCTGAATGATCATCAGGTCCCAAAGAAGGGGAAAGGGGTCATCATGAAGCAGTTGGTTCCTACGGGCAGAAAAACACTCCTAGATACCCTTCTCCACACTTCACACACAGGACAGCCCTCCTGTGTTGGCATCCAGGTGTTGGGGCTATTGGAGGAGTAGGTTCCCATCACTGAGCACACACAAGCAGATTACAGGCACCTACCTAGTGACTGTTTCCCACCAGTACTTCTTGTCTGTCGATATCATAACCTGGGGTTCATCTCACACAAAGTGTGGAGTTGGTTTATGTGCAGCAGAGACAAGACCCAGAGTGAGATGCTGGTCCCATTGCTCCCAGCAAGTTACTGCTGCATTTACTTTAGTCTAACATGAATCAAAAAGGATGGGAAAATTAGGGGAGCCCAGAGAAAACCAAGTCAGCAGAAATATGATTTGGAAAAACCAATCAAAGCCAGTGTGCCCCAGTTTCAGCCAAAGAAGTGAACGAAGCGATGTCACCTTGGCTGTCCGAGCCATAGGCTCTCCTATACGCAAAGAGCATCTGTGACCTGGGACCGTCTCACTGCAGTATTATTTACAATGAAATGTTGAAAAGTATTGAGAGATCCAAGAGGCATAAGAGGAAGAAACTGACTCTACAAGGACATTTCCTTTCTTCCTTCCTTCATTCCTTCCTTCCTTTTGTGCCAGAACTGGAGCTTGAACTCAGTGTCTGGGTGCTGTCACTGAGCATTTTTTTGCTTGAAGTTGATGCTCTACCACTTGAGCCACACCTCTACCACTGACTTTTGAATGGTTTAATTGGAGATAAGAGTCTCATGGACTTTCCTGTCCAGGCTTGCTTCAAAATTCAATCCTCAGATCTCAGCTTTCTGAGTAGCTAGGATTATAGGCATGAGTCAGTGGAGCTGTGGCTCAAATGGTTGAGCATCAGCCTTGACCAAAACCAAAACCAAACTAAACCAAAGCAAAACAAAAACTCAGGGATAGCACCCAGGCCCTGAGTTCAACCCCCAGTCCATACACATTACACACACACACACACACACACACACACACACACACACACACACACACACACACACACACACACACACACACACACACACACACACACACAGTTTTGCCAGTAGTGTTACTTTAATTGGTTATTTTTCCTTTCCTTTTTAATGGAATACTCAACATTTCCAAAATCAACTTTTGTTAGCTGTTACAAACTGGAAGCCAGCAAGCTCATTCTACAAGATACTCAAATCAGATCATCAGAATGGCTTTAGTCCTCAGCTCTGCCTCTACATGGAGAAAATGAGTCATAGACAAACAAATGGGCAGGGCTGTGTTCTAATAAAGCTTTATTTATAAAAGCAGAGGATAGCTTAGTTTGTCTCACAGACTAAAGTCAACTGAACCCTGGTGCAAATCTCGCATACCCTGTTTAAAAGATTAAGAACATTTACCAAGCTCTGCTGATGTCTAGGGAAAGCTGTCTTTCTCATGACAGGGAGGGGACTAGGGAATTGGCCTGCTCCCTAGAAGTCACATGTGCCATTTTCTTGTATGTTGAGACACAAGGCAGAGCTTGGGGGGAGGGGGAATGTGGCCTCTGTGACCTGGCCTGGCCTGTTTAGCTCTGCCTAAGTCATGCCCTGGATCTCTTTGTTCCTGCCCCATTTCTTTCTTTCAGAGAGGAGGAGCACCATGGAAGGGGTGGGCAAAGCCAGAGGCTTAGGGACACAGAGCTCGGCTCCACTTACATTGGATTGGAGGCCACTGGATGCAGGATGACCTGGGGTGCCCGCGTTGGCGTCTCTGGCACAGGTACCACATCTGAGAGCCGGAGAAGGCACAGTCAGAGACCAAGCCTGGAGTCTCCCCAGCCCCCCCCCCCACACACACACAGAGGCGGCCACCTTCTCTGATCCTGTCCCCAACAGTCCATCCCCACCCCTAGGGCTTGTCACAGCTCCCAGGAGACTCACCTGGGAAGATGAACTGCTGCTTGTATTTGTAGTAGTGTGATGCTGCTTAGAAGAGAAAGAAAGCAGCAGGTGAGTGAGAATGCCCTCAGGTTCCACGCTGGGCCCACAGCCACCACATGAGCACCTGGGACACCAGAGCTCCAAGCATCCAACCCAATATCCCTAACCATGCTGCTACTGATAAATGCATAGATACATGCTCATTCAAACACATAGTCACATGGTCTACTCTTTAAATCAATATTAATTGTTCCCTTTGGGTAAATTTAATCTCAATGGCTTTTTAAAAAATCTTTTATTTGTAGACTGAGAAAACAAAAATGTTTCTATGGCTAGGCATGATGGCTCATGCCTATAATCCCAGGTACTTTGAGTATGAACATCAGAAGAATGGCAGCCCAAGGCCAGCTGGGCAAAACGTTGGCCAAAGCTCATCGCAACGAACAAGCCAGGACAGTGTTACTGTCTGTCCCTCAGATACCAGGAGGCGTGGATGGGAGGCTCAAGGTCTGAAGGCAAAAGCACAAGACCCTACCTAAAAAATCAACTAAAGCAAAAAAGGGAAAGGGGTGGGTGTGGCTCAAGGGGTAGAGCACCAGCTTATTAGCAAGTGCAAGGCCCTGAGTTCAAATCCCAGTACCACAAAAAAATTCTTCCTGTTTTCCCCATATTTTCCAATTAAGATTATCCTCTTTTTCTTTTCTTTTTGCTTTGTTGCTATAAGAAATGGCTAAGCGCAGTGGCTAAAAACAGCACACATGTATCCACTTGGATTGAAGTCCAAAGTTTGCACTGAACTTTAAGGTTCTGGGTCAGCTGGAGAGTCCTCCCCTCATCCTTTACAGTTAGATGAAACTACGAGGATAATGGTACAAGGCCAGACTGGGCAGGTGCAGTGCAAGTTTTACACCTACAATTCTTGGCCCATCACTTCAGCACCCAACTTGGAATAAAAAATCTTCTTTATATGTATCTATGTGTGTGTGTGTGTGTGTGTGTGTGTGTGTGTGTGTGTGTATCTATAGATAGATAGATAGATATAAACATGGCTGGACACTGGTAGTTAACACCTGTGATTTTAGCTACTCAGGAAGTGAAATTTGAGGATCATGGTTCAAAGCCAGCTAGGGTAAGAAAGTCTGTGAGATTCTTATCTCCACTAAACTACCCAAAAAGAAGGAAGTAGAGCTGTGGCTCAGTGGCGGAGTGTTAGCCTTGGGCAAAAGAAACAGGAATAATGCCCAGACCCTAAGTTCAAACCCCAGGACTGCCCAGGACTGGTTGTACACACAGACACACAGACACACACACAGACACACAGACACACACACACACCCTCTGTACTGAGCATGTGCACACTTTTTTCTTGTTATTTCTTAGGCAATATGATACAATAGCTAGTCAAGGAGCACCTGTATTGTGTCAGATACTATAAATCAGTAGGAATGTCTTAAGAACACGGGAGAGGTGTGTGGTCTCCATGCAGACACTGAGCCATTGCACCCTTGGGTTGTGGTGCTCCTGTGGGCCCAGGAAAAGGACCTCAGGAGGGCAAATGTATTAGCTGAGATGAATACACAGGCTGTTCCCTCAGCTTAACTAACAGACAGGAATGATTTATAATTAAGAGATGACTGGAGAGCTTTGGGTGCTAAGTCATTTGTCTGGGGCATGCAAATGCAAATTCCTCCCTGAGGTTGGAAGTGATTTACAACTCCCTTCAGGACAGAGTTCCAACAGCTCAGGATCCCAAACTCCCTGCTACATGATATGTAGGTATGAAACACACGTTTGTTGAAAAAATTCCACCACTTGGGAAGCCAAGGCAGAAGGATCCCAAGTTTGAGGCCAATCTGGCTATGTAAGTCAGGCCAGCTGAGAAAAGCAAAGGCTCAAGATGTAGCTCAGTGGCAGAGAACTCATTGAGCATGCGTACAAGGCAGGCCCTGAACTCAGTTCCCAGTGCTGTAGAAAACCAAAACCAAAGCTGCATGGCTCACAGGTAGGTGCCAACCACATGCCTGTAGACATTTTTATGCCTATACTCATGCAAAATGCCGTCATACATACCTCAACACATGCAATACAGAGTATGCTATTACACCTGTGATTCTGCAAATCATCCATCTTTCCACTTAAAATGCATATGGGTATCTTCCCGTGACAAGGCTCCCTAGAATACTGAATTCCCTAGATGAGATCTTTGATGAGACTGGCACTCTGCTGAGCTCTGGATGCCTGCTGCTTCAATGATCCTAAGGGTTAGGAACTATTATTATCCCCATTGTGCAGATAGGGAAACTGAGGCCCAGAGAGTTAAGTCATCTGCACAACTATGTGCAGATATTATGTGGTAAAGCTGAATTGAAGGGCTCACTATAGAGCCCAGGGTGATATCAAACCCACAATCCTCCTGCTTCAGCTTCCATTCACCCTTTTGAAGAGGAGCCCTTGCCCTGGGCAATGCCCGGTAGGTGATCTGCTAGGGTGTTACTCAGCACCCTAGCTAAGATAATTCCGCTGCAACTTGGGGGGGGGGGTGACTTCCATGTGACAGGCCCTCACTCCTAGTAGACATGAGGTTGCACCAGAATTACATACACAAATAAAAGAGAGGTGACCCTGATCAAGCAATATGCATTTTACTCATAAACTGGCATGTTGAATTGAAACAGCCTATTGTACAACTACTTCAAGATAATTTAAAAAAAATTAAGCACCAAAGTTTCAAGACTCAGACCCATTCCCTGTCTAGGAAGAACAGTGTGGGTGGGGGACAGTCGGCTTGTCCTCAACAGCACTGAGTCTGGGGGCTCCCAGGTGTAAAAGTCAGAGAACCTCCTGAACTCAAGAGCCAGATTAAGTCTTTCCTCCTTTCAGAGGAATTGCTTAGGTATTCATCATAGCTATAGAGACTCCACACAGCCCTCCTGGGGTCTCCCAGCAGGATCAGGGCTGCATTCTGGTTAGGGAGAATCTCAGGTGTGGCCCTCCTCAAGGAGAAATATCCCTATGTCTAATGACGGGACCAGGAAGCCACCATGACCCCGTGTGGATCCTCCTCCACCATCTACAGCCCAGTGCCTCCTTCCCAGTCAATAGCCTGAGTAGGAGATGGTAGAACCTTCTATAACATTCCAGCTTTCCAAGGTGAAACACAAATGGAATTCAGAAGTCTCACAGCAGGAATATGGGAGACTTGGGTCTTGAACCCAGGACTCTAGGTACTTATTTAGAGCATGTGTTTGACATTAGGGAACGGGACACAGTAAACAGGTGGAGTCGGGAATGTGTCTCTACATCCCTTGGCACATGACCCTGCTGCCAACTGTCAACTGCTCTGGCTCACAGGACAAGTACCAGCTGCAGAGCAATGGATCCCTCTGTAAACAGACTCAGGTGAAGACTGCAGCTGCTGCCAGCCAAAAGTGAGAGTCTCCACAAAGCCTTGTGCCACCCCGTGCCTCAGTTTCCTCACCTGTAAAATGGAGTGGATATCACTTATCTCATGGCTATTCTAAATGAAATGAGGTGATAGATGAACTGCCTATGGCAAGGGTCCACCCACATTCCTCCTTGGTCCTCCCTACCCATCAGGCTACTGCCCTCGATCAAGGGCTGGTCTCATTCCCCTCTCTGTCCTCTCTTCACCTCCAATGCAGGGTCGTACCTGGCAGGTTGAAGTTCTTCTGCTGCCTCGTGCACTGGGGGGAAGGGTGGAGGGGAGAAGGCGGCGTGGCGCTGGGTGGGAGGGGAGGAGCCGGCGAGGAGGGTGTGGAGGACGTCGTGGAGGAGGGGTTGCTGCTGGAGTCTGGCTGGTAAGGGACAGGGATGTGGTCCTGCAGAAACAGAAGGGGGCAGGGGTCATGAACAGGCAGGGAAGCACAGACACAAGAAAGAAAGGGGGCTGAGCAGGAAATATTGCAGCTCAGCTGGGTGCTGGTGGCTCACACCTGTAATCCTAGCTATTCAGGAGGCTGAGATCTGAGGATCACTGTTCAAAGCCAGCCTGGGCAGCAAAGTCCATGAGACTCTGATCTCCAATGAACCACCAGACAACCAGAAGTGGCGCTGTGGTTCAAGTGGTAGAGCACTAGCCTTGAGCTGAAAAGCTGAGGAACAGTGCCCAGGCCCAGAGTTGAAGCCCCACAAATGACCCCCCCACACACAAACAAAAAGAGAATTAACTTGTAGAGTCACATACCCATTCACTGCTTGGACTCCAGAGGGCAAGGTTATCAAGGAATGAAAACCACAGAGCCCCCTGTGCCTCTTTGATTCTGGGCGGCCTCACACAGAGGTGTCCGGCGTATGCACACCAGCCTGACACCTCTCCTCCTGGGTGTTTATTAAAGAATCAACAGCCTGACAGCTCCTGAGAGCAGGGGAGCAAGATGCAGCATCTTCATCCACAGCTCAGCTGGAGTCTGCACTACCTTGCGCTGCCCCCTGGACCAGCTCTAGAGCAAAGACAGAGACAGAGTTCCGATGCACAGCACATCATCAGAAAAAAAAGAGGGAGGGAGAGAAAAAGAGAAAGAGAGAGAAGCAGTGTAGTGAGTCAACTACCACCTCTCTGCAAAGGTATGTCACCTAGTAATTCAGAATCTGGTCTCATTCGGGACCAAGAGTCTTTTGAAGACATAATTAAAGAATGAGGGAATGGAGAGAAAGAGGGAACAGCTTACACTAAGCAAAAGGAAAGAAATGTACATATCACCCTATTTGGAAGAAATAGTTGTATTGTCAAAATTCATAGAATTCATAAGCTTTATAGACCATGATAATGACAATTCACCTTGTGAAGGTTAAAATGTGTTTGTGACTTTAGCTAAATATCACTATCTCCACAATATTGTGAAATTTATGTAATCACTTAATCTCAATAAAGAAAATTTAAAAAAATAAGGGTAATCATTCTGGACTAAGTCAGTGCTAACTACAATGACAAATATCCTTCGATGGATAGGACACAGACACAGACAGACAGACAAACAGACAGACACACACACACACACAGACACACACACACACACCTGTGCGAAGACAGAAGTAGAGATCAGAGGGATTCTGGCACAAGCCAAAGGTTGCGGGAATCCTCAGAAGCTGAGGAAGGCAATAGGTCTTCCTTCAGAGGCTCTGGTGAGCACCTCTGCTGACCCCTGACCTTGCTGAAAGCCACAGTGGTTTAACCATTTTTCCACTGGAGGTCATACGCGCCGCCTCCTGCTGATTACTGTGGATAAAGTTACTATGAGCATGTATGTGTATATGAATATATGTTTTTAATGCTCTGCAATAATGTTCAAAGATGCAATTTCTGGATGATATAGAAACATCATGCTTAGTTTTGTTGTATTTCTTTAAGAAAACACACCATTTTCAACACAGTGCTCTGGGCTGACTTGCTCATTTTCCCTGGCTGAACTGTTCTAGTAGGAGGGGAAATTCTTTCTGCAGGTGAGGTCCAGGTCCCAATGGGACCAGTGGCTGGAGTTGGAATTCCATTAGAAGGAAACTTGAACTCTTCTAGATCATGAGGGAACGGGTAGCTGGCACAATCCTTCTTTCTGAACACAGACAAGAGATGGAAACACCCCTCAGAGACCATCCAGGCCTCACCCTTCCTCCCGTATGGAGTGCTAAGGGGGAGAAACACGTCAATGGCTTGCTGGAGTCCCATGGGGGTCCAGGTCCCAGCTCCCAGCCCAGAGACAGGAACACAAAGCTGGACTATGGACTAAGAAACTGACTCTGGGAATCAAACAGGAGTACGCTCAACTGGGCCTCCACTCCACTGAGCACTGAGCTGGACATGGCAGAGGTAACTGCCCTCTCATGGTCAGTTCCCTTAACTGCCCTTTGCCTGCTTACCCAACAGCCGCTGTGGAATGGTCTGCCCTAAATAAACAGGGGCTAATGTCTGGTGACACCACAGCCCAGCCCAACACAGGACTAGAACTGATAGTATTAAATGAGCTGTCCACTAAGACGAGATGCTGGAAGGATCCACTCAGGATCTACTCAGCAGAGGCTGAGTAGAGATGAGACTGGAAGAGAACGAAGGGTGCACAGCACACTGGAAACCAATAAGCAGAAGGCTGTGAGGAGTAGAAAATCCATGGCGTTCTCTGTGGAGAACTCTAATGACACAGAGTAAACATGAGAGCAGAAAATGAGGGCATACGTCAGCAATAGCTGAACAGGGCAGATCCATGAAGTGAGCCCTGGGTCAGCGCACAACAGAAGGCCAGAACAACCACCTGTGGTCTTGTTTGGGGTCAAGCCAACTGCTCAGCTCAAGGCCATCCTCTGTGTGTCCCTTCATGAGGCCCAGCTCTTAGAGGATGAGCTCCAGGCCCTGTGTCACCCCATCTGCCTTTCCTGTAGACACCCTACTTGGCTGCCTTAGGCCAGGTGGGTCTCTGCTCCCTGCAGCCAACTGAAAACAGCCAGGCAGCATCAGCCCCTTCTGACACTGGACCACAGCAGGCAGATCTTCAGCCCTTGCTGCTAGGATAGGTAATAGTTCTGATGCCTTGATCGAAGGGCCCAGAGCTACAGATGAGTCCTCCGAGGAGCACAGAGAGGATGCTGCGAATGCTTCTCTTCCATTCGCTCTGCCTTCTGCTCCCCTTCACCCTGTCTTCTTGATCCTCCCTCTTTCTCTATTGCTGTTATTCCTTTTTGATCATTTACCATCTCCCCCATTCCCTCTATCCTCTTTCATTTCCACCATCTTTTCCTCTGTCTTCCTTTCCTACTTCCTTTTCTTCTTCACTTTTCTTCTTTTCCTTCTTACACTTATTTTCCCTTCTCTTCTTCTACCTTTCCCTCCTGCCTCTCCTTCCTTCTCCTCTTGTTCTTCCCATCCTTTCCCCTATTGATCATCTTCCTGCTCCATCCTCTCCTTCTCTTCTGCCAGCTCCTCTTCCTCCCTGCCTTCCTTCTCCTTCTATCCTCCTCTTCTTTTTTTTATTCTGCCAGTCCTAGGGTTTGAACTCAGGGATTAGGGGCTGTCCATTTGAGCTTTTTTGCTCAAAGCTAGCCCTCTAATAGTTGACCACAGTTCCATATCTGGCTATTTGTTGGTTAACTGGAGATAAAAAATCTCATAAACTTTCCTGCCCAGACAAGCTTTGAACTGTAATCCTCAGATCTCAGCTTCCTGAGTAGCTAGGGTTACAGGCATGAGCAACTGGTGCCCTGCTTCTCCTCTTTTTTTCTGTCCCTCTTCCTCCTTCTCCTCTTCTTCCTTTCTCTTCATCTTCCTGCCTTTCCTCCTGTTTTCATCATCAAGCTGTGCATGCATGCCCTGAGTACCCCATGCTGGACTAAATCCCTTTTACACATCACACCATCTAATCCTCTCCACAACCCCACCCACATCTATTGTATAACCCATTTTACAGAAGTGAAAACCAAGTGCAGTCAGACTGAAATGGCCTGCCCAGTCACATAGCAAGTTAAGGAGTTGAGCTGCAAGTCCACGCTTTCTGATGCCAAAATCCACATTCCAATTATCATGGCAGGTGAGAAAACAAGGGCTCTGCGAAGGCGGGTAGACGGAGCCAGGCAGGAAAAGAGCCAAAGCAACGCCAAGAACACTTCAGAGCAAACTGGCCCCGAAATCTACACCATTCCCCACATCACTGCCTGACAAAGACCATCTGCATGACACCATGAGAGGAGAAAGGAGGGGAAAAAAATAACTCTGCCCAGTGAGGGAACCTGACCACATTCATGTCTATGCTTTCTAAACAGAGGTTAATTTATTTTCCTTGTCAGATTCTCCTTCTGGCAGACAAGAACAATGCCAATCACTGATGAATCTAACACCAAGAGGCTGCAGTGCCTGTGAAGCCAGAGGGGAAGGCCGCAAGGTGGCTCTCGATTCCTGGTCCCCTCAGGATGCCAAGGAAAAGACAGGTCTTCAGAAAGGCAGTTACCCCAGGGGCTTATTATCTGAGCCCCCCTCGGCCCTCCCAGCTGTGGGGATCCCCTCTTATAAAAAACCTGTATCTTATGTTTTGTTTTTCAAAATTCAAGTCTTCATTTGTTGGGGAGGCTGATGGAACCCTGAGCCTTGCACGGGCAAGGCAAGTGCGCTCCTGCTGAGCCACATTCCCAGCCCGAGACCTGGATGTTTTGAAAATGACCATGGAGAAGGGGACATTTTACCTGGAAGCTTATAATAGCAGCCAGAATTTCCATCTACTGTATGCATGTGTTTTAAAATACTGATCTTTTCATTTTGTTTCCCTAACTTTCCTCTTGTTCACCTCAAGTGTTTATGAAACACAGACTCCATGTCCTTAGATGCTAGGGATGCTGGCCATTAAGAGCTGGGATCTAGGTCTCCTCTCCTCTAATCTTGTTTCACTTTTCTCATAATTAAGAAAGTACACCAGGAGTGAGGCTGGCCAAGTCTCACCTTGGTTGCTAATTCCAGAGCCATGAGCAGTCAGCCATATTGTGAAGAAGCCCAAGCCACAGGCTCAGGGGACATGTGAGTAAACCTAGACTTCCGTGTGAGGCCCCGCCCTTGACAGCCCACTGAAGATGACGGAAGCCCCAGCTAGGTCAAAGCACCTGACGGTAAACATTTAAGGTTCAAGGGACATAGCTGCTGTGATCTTCAACTTTTCATTTTTTTACATCTAACTGGGATGTGACGGAGTTCCAATAATGGTTTTATTTTTCCTTTGGTTTTTGTTTTTGAGACAGTCTTCAATGATCCCAGGCTAGCCTGGAACTCTCTGTAGAGCCTGGGCTGGACTTGAAATCCTGCCTCTGCTTCACTGGTGTTGGGATAACAAATAAGTGTCACCAAACCCAGTCCTGATAAGTCTTCATTCATAAAATTAGACCATGGGATGGACATGGTCTATGGGCCAGAATGGGCTAAGCTCTGTGTTGGACGCCTCAAGACACCAGCTAATGGAGATTTCCCAGCTGAGTCCTGGGACTCTATGGAGTAAAACCAAACCCATGCTGCATCCCAGCTCCCAATCCCCAGAGCTATGAGCACAGTACAAGAATGGGTGTCATAGCCCACCAATCTTGGGGCCACCCATCAAGCTGCAGCAGATGAAAAGAGCACCATTTCATGTACAGAGAACCCAAGGTTCTGGGAAATGAAGTGACTTGCTAAAGCTTTGCAGCCAGTAAGTAGAGGAAGCGAGGGCGGACTGCCAGGTTGTCCTGACGCCAGAACACAAGCCTTCTCCATTGCTAGGACGATGCCACGAGAAGCCAGATGGCAACTGGCTCAGAGATCTCGTAGCAGAATCTGGGGGTGAGAGCACAAGAAGAAAAGAGCATACGGCTTGGGAGGGAGCGTGGAAGAAAGGTCAGAGATGAAGGGAAGGAGGGACTAAATTATGCCCAGCCTTGTAAGCTAACAGAGAAGATTCAGGCTTGTTTTTGGAAAGCAACAGAAAGCCCCTGGATGGTCTTAAAAGCAAAGAGAGATGACAGTCTAATGACATTCTTAAGAATCACCCTGGCTGCTGGCCCGAGAATGGATGGGGGAAGGAGGAATGAGAGGAGAGTCTGATCTTCAGAATGCTCATCTGGGACCTGCACATTTGTGTCTCCCTTCTTCTTAGGGCTGACTCACACTGTATTCACCTTCAAGGCCTTGTGGGGCTCCAAAGACCACAAAGGGGTATATCCTTTGCCTCCCACTGCTGGGCTTTGCAGGCCCAAGTGTAGCCTCACCAGCAGACCAAGAGGAACATGGGGGAGATCCTGCTAGAAATAAAGAGGTACAGAGAGGGCTGGGAATGTAGCTTAGTGGTAGAGTGCTTGCCTAGTGTTCATGAAGCCCTGGGTTTGATTCCTCAGTACCACATAAACAGAACAAGAAAGAAAAGGAGGCACAGAGAGGCCCGCTGCTACCCAGCTGCCTGAGGAAGGAAGCTAACCCAACTAGCTGGTGCTCAGAGCTCCCAAAGATAACCTCCCATCCAGTCTCCACTAGAAGTGGAGTTGTTGATCCCCAGCCCTTAGCACACAGATGTTCGGAAAGCCGAGGACCATCTGCACAGCGGATCCCAGCAGATGGGGAGACGTCTCAGAGCATAGAGCAGGCAGGGGCTGAGGCACGGAGGAAAACTCCCTTTGGGGTTCTCCTGACCACACCACCCTCCACATATGCACCCCCTATTTCAAGGACACAGATTTCTGGCACATGACTATCTCTGCTAACTGCCAGGCGCTTCCAGCAAGCTTGATTCCACACAACTCACAGGGGAAAGGGAGGACCAGGAGAGCCCAGGGGGTTGGCAGGTGCATACCGCACCCAGGTCAATTCCGTCCATCCCTTTTCCCACTACTTGGTGGGGCCATCCCCCACAAGCCTGAACCGCGCAGAAGCCCCCATCTCACCTTGTTGATTTTGTTGGTTTTGGGGAGCGTCTGACTGATGTGCAGGTCTGAATACCGGGGTGGTTTCCGTACAGGGTTGTTGATGTCACACGGGACCGACTCTGTCCGGACTAACCTTGCTGGATCCGTAGGGACAAAAACAGTAATGGGAGAGTTTAAGTATTATTTTGGCTTTGACTGTACCAGGAGAGTGGAGCTCAAACCCCACCTGGAAGGTCCCTGTCTCACATGTATATGTGCATGTGGACGCATACACGCACGTGTGCATGTACACACAGTGAGAGAGACAGTCATTGTATCACTATGGTGAGATCCAAGTGTTCTCCAAGCTTTCTGTACTGTCCAAAATGTAATAATCAGCTGGGAACAATGGCCTACATCTACAAGCTGAGATCTGAGGCTGAGATCTAAGGATCACAAATCAGCAAAACAAGCCAGAAGTGGAGCTGTGGTTCAACCAGTAAGAGTGGAAGACTTGAGCAGAAGGGAAAGCATAATACCCTGTATTCAAACTACAATTCCTGCACAAAATAAATGTAAATGACAATTAAAAACAAAAACTGAAGCTCTCACAGTTAGTTTTTTCCCTATACTATTATTGTTTTCCTAGTTTCCCATTCTAGAACTGAACCTCCTTTAATATTATAAGGTTCCTGATTTCTCAGGATTAGCAGACAGTTCTAACCTTTGTATGGGGTCACCTTTTGTTAACCATGGGTGGGGGGGGGTATCAGAACTAAGCAGCTAGCCACACATGGCCATCCAAATAATCACTAAGGCCTATTAAGACCAGCCCCTGGGGGTCACACCCAAAGCCACCCAGCAAGATGGACATATAGATGATGCCAGACAAATGCTTCCTGACCCAAATCTCATGATTGACCCCTTTCCTTCTGTTATTTCTACTACTCACAGAGAGCAAGACAAAGAACAACACAGAGAAAGCTAAGGTTAATACGAAGGTCCTCTTCCTGGTTCATCTGTTTTTCTTTTTTTTTTTTAATTGTGGGAATGAAAAGAGAACTGGTTGAAATGTTAAAGCTTTGGGTTGACCCAAGGATTTAATTTCTCTGCTTAGCCTGAGCTGCCATTACCATGGAAACAGGGTCTATTTTCAACTTCCCACCAACAGAGGGGAAAAGGAAAAAAAAAAAAAAGCAGGCAGACTTCTGGAAAGTTCCATTTGCTTGTACAAGTACCTGTTGTCTTGGAACATGGAGAGCATGACCTGGAAGGTGGGTGGCAGGGAGGGAGGGAGGCTTTCCTTAAATATCAGCCTCAGAGGGTCACCCGCCCCCCAGCAGTCTGAGGCTCACCTCCACACTGGAGACAGAGTCACAGCATCAACTACCGAGAGAAATTTCATGGGAGGAGAATTCCTCCCCAAAGAAGCTGGCCCAAGGTGAGGGAGCTGTGAGCATTTACGCTTTAAAATAGCTTCCTTGACTGTACATAGTGACTCTGGAAATAGATGGTTCTCAATTAAGGGTGTGGGGTGAAAGGGGCATGGGAAGAGAGGTGAAGGCCTTTCTCCACTTCTCTATGTGGACGAACAATGCAAAGAGCATAAAAATCCCCTGGCTTTGGGAGGCCTTCAGCCACCACTTGCTTCCTCCTTTTAAGTTTCCCTTGAGTTCAGTCTAAATTTCAGGGGATTCCTCCAAGCTTGCTAATTGAGTCCATGCAGGAGTGCAAGATGAAGATGCAAGATCTGCTCTTGTATTAGCAAATCTTCTGAAATGACTGATAGTTTTAAATGGGGGTCTTAGCAGGGGAGGTGGCAAGAAGGAAGATGAACTCTGGTACTAAGTTGCTAAGCTTTAAAAGCAAGACTATGGCACACAGAAGTCTCTGTTGGGACTTTAAGATTCAGAGACACTTGAAAGACAGATCCATACAGCTGCTGGAGCATCTGCCTTCTCCAGGTATCTCCCCTGACCCATCTGGCCATCTGTGGGACACCTGAACTTGCAGTCAACTCTGTCTGCAAGAAGCACCTCCCCAACTTTAAAATGCATAGAAATACCATGCAGATGGGAGGGGTGGGGGGGGGTGAGTAGTGAATTCTTACTTAGTAGGTCTGGGGACAGAAATGTGGAATTTTTAACACATTCTCAGATGTTATGTCCCAGTGTTACTGGTCTACATGCCATCATTTGAACAGAAAAGGTCTGGGTCATGATGTCCAGGAGAAGTTTCTGTGGTGATGAAATGGCTCTGAATCTGGATCAAATCCAATATGGCAGCCACCTGTGGTTACTGAGCCCTAGAAGTATGGCTGACATGACTAATTAAACTTGTGCTCTTATTTCATTTTAATTAATCTAAATGGCCAGATGTGGCTTGTAGCTACTGAATCAAGAGTAGAGACCTAGAGAGTCCCCCAGGGATGGACTACAAGGAAGATAGTGGGGTTTGAGGGTTTGGGGCAAGAATTCTGGAAATTATTTGGAAAATGGAAAAGGTTTTCAGAGTCAAATCCTGTTAAGTCCTTTGTGAGTAAGGAAAAGCCTTCCTTCCAGCTCTATTGGTCTTGCCTTTGCACTGGGAACGGCTTCTAATAACCACCCAGCCCAATCAGGTTGGCCCAGACACTCCCAGATGGCCTAAACCAGCAAACCTGAGCCAGAGACTTCTCCATGCTCACCTCTGCAAGGCCAACTGACTGAACATGGCAAGAGCAGGATGGAGAGCACTCAGCCAGCACTCTTCTCATGGGAAGGGAAAGCAACGGATTGGCAGAAAGAGCAGAAGTGAAAATTGGAAGAACAGACAGGAATGAAAGAACAAGGGCTAACAATGAGGGGAGGTGAACTGCAATATCAGAGACCAGCATAAAAGCCTGGAAAATGAGGGGCAGGCTAGAAGATGTCTGAGGGAACGAAATGGAATGAGAGAGTAGTTAAGGATCAGGAGGCATCTGCAATCATGCTGCCTGGGGCATCTATTGGTGGCATGCAAGAGGCTCCCAGCCCACCACTACCCAAGGGAAGCAAGGGTTAAATACTTACCTCCTCGGTGGATGATCAGGAGGTGACAGGGCGGGGCTTCTTTGGTGCATTTGTTGTGGCACTTTAATCTGAAAAAAAAGAGAAAAAGAAAAAGATGGATGGACAATGGATGGATGGAACAATGGGTGGGTGGATGGAAAAAGTAGTGGATAAGTTGGTGCATGAATGGATGGATAATGGATAGATGGACCAGGTGCTGAGGATGCATGAATGTATCAGTAGATAAGTGGGTGGGTGGATGGATGGATGAGAAAGTGGATGGATAAATGAGCTACCCCAAGTGGTTTGGAAAGTTCTTGGTATTGTGGGTACCCAGATGGGAAATGAGAAAGTTACAGCAAACACTCATCTTTGGTAACCCAGATAATTAACTCTGGAGAGCAGCTGCTGCCACATACCCTCCTGGGTCCATCCTGAGAGTGGTCCAACAGTGGTGGCCATTTTTCACCACTAGTGCCCACGTAGACTTCATGCCTCCAACTCATTTCCCCGGCAGTCTGCACTCATCATCAGCATCATCATGGTTCTGACCATCACGTGACTTGAAGACTCACTAGTCTCCGTTGCACAGATAGAATTTCACTCCAGCTTTAGAAAAAGGAGCCCCAGGACTCTCAGCCTACCTCAGGGAATTAAACCAATGGGGATTACATTTAATATCTATGTTTTCAGGTTACCTTACAATGGCAAGGAATATTGATGTTTTTTCCATTCAGAATAGCAATATGCTTTCATCAATATACATTTTTTTCTGCCACTACTGGGGTTTGAACTCAGAGCCTCAGGTTTGCATGGCTTGCTTAGCTGGTGTTTTACTTGAGCCATGCCTCCAGGCCTGCATTTTGCTGGTTGCTTTAGCTATGGCATCTCTTGGACTTTTCTGTCCTAGCTGGCTTGACTCTTACCTGTCTTCTAGTATCTGGTTTCTTCCTCCTTCTTCCCTCCCCTCTACCTTTATACCATTGTCAGTTATCTCCCAGCTACATGAGAAGCATAAATAGGAGGATCACAGTCCAGACTAGCCTGAGCATAAATACCAAGCCCTATTCAAAAAAATAATGAAAGCAAAACAGGCCATGGTCTGGCCTCAGCAGTAAAGCAACTACCTAGCAAGCAAGGAGCCCTGAGTTCAAATCCTAGTACTGCCCCTCTTCTCCCCAAATAAAGGCAAAAAAGCAAAACAAAACAAAACTATAACAACAACAACAAAAAACCTCTCAGTCTTGGGATCAAGCAGACTTGAGCTGCACACAGGGCTCTGACTTCTTAGCAGTATGAACAAGGGACCATCGATCAGGAAAATGTCTGCACAGAGCACACCTGCACTAGTAGAACTGTACTTTCTACACAAGGACTCTCTGAGTACACACGGGGATGTCATTCTATCCTTGGAGAGCCTGGACACTTGGAAAGGATTTAGTTAGCGTTTTCATTGAAAACGGCCAATTTTTTTTTCAAACTTTCAAGCATTAATAGGATAAGCTTCAGTTATGGAGAAAAGTTGCTTGTGTGGAACATCTTATCTCCCAGAGGGGCTGCTGGTGGAGGGAGACAAAGTAACACCATGCCCTCAGAAAACTGGGCATGAGAATGTATATCCAATACACAACAATGCAGGCCTTCTTCCTGGGTGTGCCCCCTGCCCATCCCCGGGTCTTCTAGAGGGAGCCTGGTGCCTCAACTATGCTGAATAGATACTGGAGACATGGTGGGAGAGCAGAGAAAAGCAAGGCAAGGGAGGAAGAGTGGGCAGAGGGAAAAAAATCAATTAAATATTGCTGATTAGGGATCTTTCTTTTTTTCTGGAAAATGCTTTGTTTCTTGTAAACTGCACCCTCATTGTGTGCAGTGCACCCCATCCATTCCCTTCCTCCTCCTCAGCAGGGGGCAGGCACAGGGATTTAACCAAGGCACAGTGGATCTTCGGGAAGATTCCTGAGAATTACCACCACCACCACCACCACCACCACCACCACCATCATCATCATCATCATCATCATCGCCATAATAACCATAATCAACATCATCACTACAGTCACTGCCATCATAAACACCATCACCACCACCGTCATCACCATCATCACCACGATCATCACCACCACCACGATCATTACCACCACCACCACCATTGTAATCACCATCACCAATGTTACCATTATCGCCACCATGACCACCACCATTATCATAACTACCACCATCACCATCATCGTCACTTTAACCAATGCCATCACCACCGTCACCACCACCATTATCATCGACGTCACCTTCACCACCGCCATCATCACCATTATTACTACCATCACTCCACCCCACCCCCAGCAGCACTATCACTACATCAATTCACTTCAGCTTCCTCATCTCTCACATACAACTGTAATTGGACTGTGATTTTTGCTTAGAATAGGTTTAAAATGCAGAAAAGGGACCGTTAATACCCATGATAATTATTGCAAAAAGCTGAAGTGTTTCTATTAATGGCAAAGTAAGTTCAAGATTCAAGCTGGTGATCTCTGAAATGCGCGCTCATAATTATATCCTGTCAATATCCTGCCTGTTGTACGAATTCCCAAAGCTTCCAGGAACTTGGCGGCAGCTGCAACATTGGCATTTGTGATTTCTCCAGTTTGCAAAGGTCGGAAGCAAGGAATGCATCCAGTGGCTCAGACCAATGCAGGCAGACTTCACACTCTGATCTCCTAACACTTGTGGCTGGCTCCATTTTTGCAAAACCAGGAATAATTCAAATCAAACATGGAATGATGGGTACAAGAACGCAGGTGAGGAGAACACAGGGCAAGGAAGGGAATTGAAAACAGCCAATCTGAGTGAAAAGGCCCCACGATATAACCAAACTGAGCAAGGAGGCATGGCTTATTTAAGTGCAAATTACTGAGGGGAGCAGTGGTGTGGAAAGAAGGAAATGTAAGCAAGTCCAGTCAGCTAGGGCAGCAGGGGCAAGACTGGGGGAGGGCGGGGAGGGAACTGTGGAGATAGTGTTGAAGCATTCCTAGAAGAAACTAGAAAGCCCATGCTAGCTAATCCTGGCTGCCAGCACATCCCAAGTGCCCAGGGAAGCAACCACTGCCTCAGAAGTGGGTGGTAACCCGATGGAGCGTGTACACGTATTTGCCTCTGCTACGTGACATGATCTGACGTGGAAGCTTCTGGGCACTTGGGAATTTTAGTGATAACTTTGGGAAAGTCCCAGGCAAAGTGGGGTATCTGGCCACCCTATGAGAGAATACAGCCCTATAATCACCACCCATAAATACAGGGTGAGAAACCCCATCATTCACTCTATACCTCTCGTGTGGGAAAAGTATAATTCACCCTAGAAACTGCAGGTGTTCGCTGGGTGCGTCCATGGGGCAAGTGACTGGCATTGGCCTACTGACAGTCATGCGCACTCCACTCCGATGGGGGCAATTCTGCAGCCCTGGGGGACATCTGGCAACATCTGGAGATGTCTCCTGTTGTCACAACTAGCTATTACGGACTGCTACAATGCACAGAATTGCAACCAGAATGATCTAGCTCCAAATACTGAACAGAGGTGAGGCTGAGAATTTCTGAGGTCTACCTTTAGCATATCTCCCAAGAAGTCATATAGTTTGGGAAAAAAAGATCCCCAAGGAATACTGGAAAACAAGAGCCACAGCTAGGTGAGAAATATCCAGAACTTTCCAGAACCCCACTCTTGCTTCACTCCCATAAGCCACTCTGCTTCCGGTGTTAAATGGTAGCCACTTATTTAAAGGTTTTGACCAAATCTCCAAGCCATGAATGTGACTGGGGCACTCATGAATCTTCAGCATGCTGAGCGAGTACATCTGCCTCATTGTACATCAGAGAGGTTTAGTCATTTCCTCAAAATCACACGGCCAGGAAGTGGTCAGACTGGGACCCGAGCTCAGCTCCTCCTGCCCAGAGTCTGTATCCCTGCTGTCCTTTTACTGCCATGAGCTGGGCTCCCTAGAAGCCTACACTGAGCGTGGGATTCTTGCAAGGGATGTATTCAAGGAGAGACCCGTCCCGCTGTGAGGCAGCAAGGCTGCAAGTGGGGAGAAAAAGCTAAGTGGGATTTGGTTTCAGGTAATTCCAGAATCGGCTGGTCCTGCAGCGAGCTCTGCCACATAAACCGCACACACCGTGGAGCCAGTCTGCCTCGAGGGATTTTTTTCCAACCCTGCATTAGGGACCTGCAGCCCCAAAACACCATGCAAGCCAGGGAAGAATGAGCTCAACACCAAGGCATGGATGTGCTCACGAACATGGGCCAGACCCTGGATTCTCCCAATGAGGAGGACCGCACCTCAGAACCTATGCTAATGTGCTTGCAACCAACCTGGACCTCCAGAGCCGGGGAGTCTGGGGATGCCAGCACCCCTGGCTACTGTTCCGCTTGCCCCTGCCCAGGAAGTGGCCATCATGACCTCAGCATCCTCCCCCACCCCCATGACTGAGGCCCGCCTTCAGGATGAAGGCCAAAACTGCTTTCCCAGAGAGGAGCTGGAAAGTCAGTGGTCAGGGTGCAGAGCATAGTTGCAAAGCAGAATCAATCACCCCATCCCCGGTGCCTGATGAAAACCACTGCAAAATAAACTCCAAAAAGTCTCAAGTCCTGCTGCAAGCCTTTCCTCCCTGCCCTGCTTCACCTGCTAAACCCTTTTCCTTCACAAGGTCCTCAGGGACAGGCACCCTTGATGTGCATCCCACCCCATCCATGCACCCCACCAGGCTTCCTCTGTGCCAATATATTCTCCCTGTTGCCCAGTGCTCTCTGGATAGCCAAGTCCCTCCCTCACAGATGGAGGACAAGCAGAAAACAGCAGGGAGGCCTAGTATAAGGGCCTGGAGCTCCAGACCTGGAGCTCTGCAGTGCAACCCAGGGAGTCTGCCAAGGGATCCAGCTGCCACTTTCAGCTGCCACCTCGATCCAGTCCTGGGTGGGGCCCGGGCTCACCTTGGGAGCTGACCATGACTGTAAGCACACTAGGCCGGGCTGGCCACACTTCTCAGAGCGAGGGCACAACCCACACAACAGAGGCTGTGCAGCGCAAGAAAACAGCCAGACTACAGCGCCGCTTCTCCGTGGTGGCTAGGAAGATCTTGCCTGTGTTTCTGTACTCTGCCTTGTACAGAAAAAATAAATACATCTTGGCATCGATTCTTTATCTACAGCTTGAAGCCTCCCAAATCACTTCTGTGCATTTGTCTGCAAGAAATGAAGACTAAGGTACAAAGGTTCTCAAAGACCAAGACCTGAGTTTGCAGAAACTTCTGGAAGGACCTGGGAGGACCTGGGAACACAGAAGGAAGCAGATAACACATGCCTGAGGGCTGGGAAACCCACCAGCATCTTCCTGCAAAAGCAAACTTGGGCCAGCTGGATCCACAGCTATCAGACAATCCGTGGATTGTGCTGACACTGGACCGCTGCATTCGGCGCTTATGAACCTATCAGACGAAGACGCCTCGATTTCGATAACTGCAGATTGCTTTCTGGGCTTTAATTTCTCATCAGTTCATTAATCTCTCTATTCAGAACACCAACAAGACAGCTTGATGATAATTCCTCAGGAAGTGGGCACTAAGCTGAAGCAGGAGGGAAGGGGGTGGTTAGATGTGGAGAAGTTTCTGGTTTCCTGGGTGGAGGGGTACCCCCAAACTAATTAATTCTTCAAGTAGAAATCAGGTTAGCTTTCAGAGATTAAGTACTTCAAGTGAGCCAGGTACAAAAATAAACATGAAACAGAGTGGTAAACTTGCTTGGTTTTCCTTTGAAACAAGCTAGCTAGGAAGCTATTATCCCCATGTTCCAAAGGAAGGTAAGCAATCTGAGGGATCACATACTAATTGGACTCAAATCTGGGCCTATCTGTCCTACAGCCTGGCTTCACAATCACAGGCTATCTTTATGACTCATTACACAACTATTTATTGCATGAATTTCAGGAGAGATGAAGACAAACAAAAGCCAGATCTATACAGGGAGGCTCAGAGCAGAAAAACAGAAGAACTTGAACCAAACTGGAGGAGTAGTGATCATCCACACAAAAACATCCAGCCAGACAGGAAAACTTGATTTGACTTTTACACTGCTACCTCTCCATCAGGCTGTGGCTCTCCCAAGTGGGGGCCTAGAACCGAGACCCCCTAACCACCTGGAACTTGCAGGATGTGCAGACTGCAGAGATCCTGGAGCAGAGACTCCAGAGGAATGCAGCCCACATTGCATCTGTGCTACAACCCACCGGCGCGTTCTGATGCATGCTCAAGTGAGACCCACTGCTAGGTGTGGTGGTGCACACCTGTAATTCCAATACTTGGGAGGCTGAGGCAGGAAGACTGTGAGTTTGTTCTACATAGCAAGACACACTATCTCAGAAAACCAAAAGGTCGAGGACCATAATTTAAGAAAAAGAAATGTGGGGATCACTCAGCAGTTGGAGAATGAACCAAATACAATTTCTAACTCAACTGTAGGGAGGCCTGAGGATTCCCCCAGCCCCCAAGTGCTTCTGGTCCTGCCCCCCCCCAAGCAATGGACAGTAGAGCCCAGTTCCTGCCACCCAGGGAGTCTCTGGCAAGCACAGAGTGCTCTGGGCTAAAGGGATAAATCATTTCCTGCCTGGGAGACTCAAATGTGCACCTCTGGCCGCTTTCGGGGACAGAAAATGACCTGGGCCACAGACTCCTGCATCTTAAATTCTCACTCTAGCAGGAGACCTTTCCTGACCTCTTTAATTCCTATTTTCCCTTCTCTACTTCCTCCTGTCTCCTAGTTTTTCAGCCTTATCTCTTTAAGACCCCCTTTAAGAACTTCACTTGGTTTACTGGCTGTGCACCTCCTGCCCACCTACCATGACATGGATTTTGTCCCTTTGATTCCCCCCTCCTCCCCAGTGCCTGGAAGACACCTTGATACACAGTGTTTACAGATTACAGCCGAGCATTTCTAATCCCAAAATCTGAAACCCAGAATGCAAAACTTGGTGAGTGCCAACAGGACACCACACGTGGAAAATTCCACACCTGACCCCACAGTCAAAACACAGGGGTAGGGCTGGGCTTAGTAATACACATCTATAGTTCCAGCTAGCTAGCAGATAGGAGGATGGTGATCCAAAGTCAATCACAGCAAAGGTCTAAGAAAACAAAAGACAAAACAAATCTGGAAAACAAACAAGAACAAAAACTAACAGACAGAAGGACTTGGGGAGGTTGGGATATTTCCTATCCCCAGCATTTACTCAATCTAGCATATTCACGATCCAACTAATAAGTAGTTGTTGACTGAAATGAAGAATGGTTTAGGAGATATCTCTGAGAAAGGGCCTCCCACTTCCTACCACCTCTCCACAATGTACATACACTGCACTGTCAGAGCAACGTGTCTCTAAGGCTCTTTACTTCCTGACCAGCATTTCTAGGGGCAAATTGGTGATCAGGGCAATCCCGCCACAGCTAGCTTTGAACTCTTCACCAGGTGAAGAGGGATGTTCCTGGCTACAACACTGGGCCAGTGCATTTCACTGAGTCCGTCTGACAGCCCTGTGGGCATGTCCCAATGGGAAAACTGAGGCCAACACAACCGACTTGAAAAAGCTGGAGTTCACACCCAAGAGTTCAGTGATGGAGCTGGGACCTAAACCTCAGCCCTGGTACCCTGGTAGTTCCAAATGCCTATGGATCCTTGCAGCCAGCCCTGGCCCCTACTGCCGGTCCCCCCTCCAGGAGTCACCTGTGGGCTGTGGGGCTGCCAGACAATGCCTGGGCAGTGACTGTCTCCACCCATGGCTCCCTCAGAGCTGGAAGCAAACAATGCTCTGCTCTCCTCAATCAGGAAGCTCGAAGGGTTCAGCCTGACCTTCTCAGGCAGGTGAGAGATGACCAGGATGGCTATCCCACCCCTGTCCATCAGGGAGGAGCAGGGATGAGGGAGGCCCAAAAGGACCCGAAAGACAGACAGCGACCTCTGCCTGCCAACCGGGCAGAGCAAGGCCAGGCAGGAGTGCAAGGGGAATCCCTAGACTCTTCCCCTAAGGTGGAGTGAGTGTTGTTGGCCACTTTGCAGCGATGGGACCTGAGCAGGTAGTTAATATACCCGGTGCAAGGAGCCAGAGCCAGCCTGGGAACTCAATGTAGGCGCTGTGCTGTCCTCGGCGTGTTGGTTTGATGAGTGCTTTGCTGCCCCCTGCGACAGATCTGATTATTAATTATTCCTCTCCCACAGATGAAACTACTGGGGACTTGTCCAGGGTCATACAGGGACACAGAGGTGGGATTTGAACCCAGCTTAGTGTGATTGCTGAGCTCACACCTGGAGTGAGTTTTCTTTTGCTTCCCTCCCTCCCTTTGGTCAGCCATGACAGAATGGATATGGGGAAGGAGTGGGAAGAGGTAGCGTTGCTGGGTGGTCCAGCTGTCTAGCCAGTACGTAAGGACACAGTGACTAGAACAGGAGTTATGGAGTTTGGGTTCAAGTCCTGACTGCTACTTTCTAGCTATGGCTTTTCCTGGCTGAGACTCGAATGGTAATACTCCTTCAGAGAAGTGCCCTGAGGAGAGAAAGCAGGGAGACGCAAAGGCCCCTACAAACTCCAAGAGCCAGGAATCAGCACACCACAGGACTAGGCTGGTTTTTCTACATCAGATTTTGCTGGAATAAGTTCATTGCTTTGTGCCTACTTTGTCTAGGAATGTTCCTGAGCTGAAGAGGCTCTGCTAAGAAGCTGCCATGCAGATTCCTCCACTAATGGGCTGCAAAACTTCAAATACTGACAGTGTGATTTGTGAGAGGACAGGCTTGCCAGCCCCTGATCCTAGACAATTCGAGCATGGAGCGTCCACGTGGGCCTGCCCAGTGTTCTGAGTTCCCTACTATGTTCTGTCAGCGGGGATTATGACCCAGAATCACCCGACTCCCTCTGCACTGTCCCCCTCCCCCGCCCGAATGTTGAATGTCTAAAATGGACCCCAAAGGACTCTCTCAAAAGAAAGCAAACGCCCAGGCTCTCATCAGGTGCTGCACGTGCCTAGCTGATAGCAGGTGCTTCGGAAAGTCCCTTCCAAGTACAGCCACTTACTTGCAATTTTTACATTTGAGACCAAAAAGCATCCCCTTTCCACAGACCGTACACGTCTGAGACATCCAGTACTTGGTGGAAAACCTGTAGAAGAGAGACAGAAATGTTTCAAGGAGCAGAGGACAGCAATCAACCAATCTCTAGGAGGACGCCCTTGAGTACTGGAATCCGATCCTGCTTCCTCCAACATCGGTGACTCTCTTCCTCAAGTTGCTTAAACTGCTGTACCCTCCGTCCCTTCACCTGGATGGCCACAGTGTTGGCCTCGTGGGTTGTCAGGAGGATTAAATGAAGTCATGCGTGCCTAGGGCTTTCCCCAGGGGCCTGGCACCAAGTTAGTATTGGACAGCAAACGAGCATTTATAATAGATGGCCTATTTCATTCACTAGACAAAAACTGATGAGGGGTCTTCTACTCTGGGCCAAGTTTGGTTTCAGAATAGAGGAATGGAGCCCAACTATTGGAATGAAGGAGTCCCCCAAAAGGGAAAGCCTTTGACCATCAGCTCCCCTACCTCTCAAACTGCAAACACAGAGTTTAGCAATCTCCCAGGGAGCCCTATTACCAGTGTGGGTAGGAACCCATTTGATTAACTCCCAGACAAGGCCGCTGGGTGCCTTCTATCCCCAGATCCCATTGGGAGGAGGCAGCAGCAAGCCAAGCAAGGCTCCCAGGAAAAGGATTGAAGGTTGTCAGGTCACAGTTAATTTTAATTTTCAATTTGTGCCACCGTTGGCAGGAGTCGTATCTAATCTTCACCGCTTCCAGTGTCAAATGGGAAATGGGAAGTGATTACATAACTTGGAGGCAGAGAATTTTGAGGGAAAGGCAGCCTCCCTTGGCTGTACCATCATGGCAATCTGGGTCAATCCCTCTCCAAACAGAACAAGCTGGAGCCTGAAGACTCCACATCTAAGCAAATATAGTGGTATGCTGAGCAGAGCCCCCAGTTCTGGACTTGTTGGGCCCCCTGAGCAGGGCCAAGGAGTATAACAAGAGTCTGTTCTGTGGAAGGCAGCAGCTCTCAGGAATGGCACGGGGCAGCTATTCTCCCAGCATCCAGAAGAGTGGGGATGGAGCACAAGTGTACATGGTGGGGTGGGAGTGGGATAAGGGGGGGAAATTCCCTTTCCAACCCTGGCCTGTCCCCAGGGTCAGCTCTCTCCTTGTTGCCTGGCTCTGGCTGAAGTGACTGCTGAGAGAGAATGGGATTTTAATTTGGTTTCTTCACCAAGGCTGGGCTGAGTACCCATCTCTAGCCCCTGACATGAAGCCCAAGGAGAAACACAGAGCGACTAAAGATGAACAGATCACCTCTAGGAACCCAGTCCCAAGTCTCAGATGACCAGGTTGCTCCCTCTTAGCTCTGCATAAATACAGAAACTGAGGCACTACCAGGTTCCAATGTCAGGATGAGAAAGCCTGGGGGTGACCTCAGCTAGAATATAGATGGCAGGGGTGGGGCCAATTCAGGGATGGAGATAAATCAGGGCCAATCCTGGGGTGTGGCTGAGGCAGAGATGAAACTAAGCCAGGGGTGTGGCCAAGTTAGAAACACAGCAGACTCAGGGATGCAGGCAATTCAGGAGCATGGCCAGTCCAGGAGCAAAGCTCAATAGGGGGTGTGGCTAATTCAGGGGTGTGGCTGAGACAGAATGTGGCCAATCCAGAGGCCAAGCTCAATCGGGGATGTAGACAATTCAGGGTTGTGGCCAATCCTGAAGCAGAGCTCAATCAGGAGTGTGGCCAGTCCAGGGGTGTGGCTAAGCCAGGGGCGTGGCTGACCCTGAGTGCTGTGGGCAGCCTACACAGTGAAGACCTCGTGTTTGCTCCTCCTCTCTGCAGCTCACAGCCTGACCACAGGCATCTATCACATATTTCTCACAGCTTCCTCCAATTTTTCTCATTTGAGGTTTGACAACTATCCTGTCAACATACTTCTTTCAAAAGCCACTGACAAGATGCCACTCCAGTGAGGGTGACCTCCAGCTGTGGCTATGTCTCCACCCCTGGTGTGTCCCTCCCCCAGTTGGGATCCCTGGGATGTCACAGTCTGTTGGCTGACTTTCCTCTAGGTGGACAGCTTTCTGGAGACATAGGCCTTACATCCTGCTCAGTGTTGCAACACCGACACAGAAACATCTAGAGGAAAGAATCCATGCATGGGACCATCAGCTGGCTCACAGAGGCCCCACAGCATGGAACAGCCTCAGCTGTCTGGCTGACCCCATTGTGGTTCCCCTCCACCAAGGCCTCAGTTTCCTTATCTATCAAATAAGGGTGATCATATTCAACCCAAAGAGATCGTAAGGCAATGGGGCAAACCACAGAAAGTCAGATGTGGGGAAGGGTACTAAGCAACTTGTTATAAGGGCAGACTAGTAGTAGCTAAAACCCACTCCCAACAAAGGCAGGTATAACCCTGGGGAAGTTATCCTATCACCCTGCCAAGCAGCAGCCCCAGCCTACCTCCACCTCAGGAGAGAATAAGCACCAGGGTCCAGCCCACAACCTTGTATTTCCTGGGTAAGAATTACCCAAAATTAGGACCTAAAGCAACAGCATTTACTGTTCATTTACTATGTGCCTGTGAGAAGCACTTTGTGTGTGTGTGTGTGTGTGTGTGTGTGTGTGTGTGTATGTGTGTGTGAGTGTGTGTATGTGAACTCACTTAACTTTCATAACCATCCTGGAGGTAGGAAGACTTACTTGATGAAAAAGAGAAAGCAAACAACTTTCTCAAAGTTTCAAAGCTTTTTCACTCTGAATTTGGTCTTTTGTAGCTTCCCCCCCCCCAGGGCTGAGGACTGAACCCAGGGTCTTGTGCACGCCAGGCGGGCTAAACCCCCAGCCCCCTTCACTCTGAATTTGGAACATAGGCAGTGACTCCAAAGCCTGGTGACTTTGACGAAAGGCAAGCTTGTGAGAGGCACTGGTCTCAGACCTCTAGTTACTATGGTAATGAAGGAGCTGGGGCCAAATATTCTGTCCTACCTCGCCCACCCATGCCCGGGGTTTACAGGTGCACACAGGCAGCCTACCTGTGTTTGATGGAGTTGCCCAGGTCTCTGCGGGGAATCTGCGGGGACCAGCGCGGCACTGACAGTGTGTCTACAGAGAGAGAAAAGTGGAGGAGAAAGGCTTGTTACACCGTGGCAGGGGGCTGCCAGGCTCTGGTCGAGCCTGGGAAGAAAAGGAATGATGGCCAGACACCTTCACCTGCTGAAGGCACCAGCAGCAGAATACTGTTACATCCACAACTGCAAGGCTCCCTGGGCAGTACAGCCAGAAGATGCCTTATGAGAAACCAGCTGTAGAATGAATAGAATCAGCCATCACTTCCATTTATGGAGGATGTAGCAGGTGCCACGCATGTGCCCATGAGTCACAGGAACCGCAGTCACACAGTGCAGCCTACATCCTCAAAACCACCACAGGAACGAAGTTGCCAGCTCCCCCACTGCACGGATGGGGATACTGAGCCTGGGAGAGGGCAAGTCCCTTGCTCAAGGCCTTTTCTAGCAGAGGCCACACAGCAGCAGCACATCCTGGCTAGTGGGACTTGACAGCCTGCATTCTGGTGAAGTTGTGTGTAGCGATTACCAATGCCCACAAGGCCAGCCCAGTCTCATTTCTGCCAGACAGTTGTGCAACTCATAAAATTAACTCTTTAACATTTTATAGTGAATCCACCGAAGTGCTTATTTCAAAAGTGAACTCTAAGCCAGGCATGGTAGGTGATACACACCTATAATCCCAGCACTAGGAAGAGGCCGAGACAGGAGGACTGAGAGTTCAAAGCCAGCCTGGGCTGCATAGAGGCCTCGTCTTTAAAGCAAAGCAAAGCAAAACAAAACAAAATGAAACATTAAAAAAATCCTCCAAAAAACAGAAAACTGTATTACTCTATCCCATTTTCTATTGGCTGTAGTTAAATACTGTTTGCTAACTTCTTTTAGTATGTGCCGTTTAATGTCATACCAGAATAGTGGACGGATGAATGGATGGATAATGGGTGGATGGATGGAAAGACGGATGAACGAGCAAGTGGATGCACAGATAATGAATGGGTGGATGGATGGATGGAGAATGGGTAATGAATGGGTGGATAGATGCGTAAGTGGATGGATAATTGGTGGATGGATAGATGGATAATAGATAGCTGAGTGGGTAGATGGACAGATAGGTAGGTGAAAATGGGCAGATAGATGGAATGACAAATGAGAGTGACAAAGAAGGAATAAACCATGCAGCCTTCACAATAGGCGTCTCCTATGTGGTCATTTCTTGCACGTTCAGTCTGAATCCCAGTGGGCTGCACTGTCACTCTGTCCGTCGGTGGCTCAAGGTCTTGTGCAGACCCTGGCTCCAGCCCCAGCTTCTCTCACTGTCTGGCCATCTGCACCAGCCTCTCCTCGGCCCCCGAGGCCACGGAGGTGAGATGAGAACAGAAATGAACTCCTATGCCGCCTGTGAACTCGGGAGCTGAGCGGGGGATGGGACTCTCTTCCCAGCAGATGGATGGTGTGGTCTTGTTTCAGGGTTACAGATGCCCCTCGTTTTTCACAGCTATTGTTATGGAACAGAGCAGGGAGGGAGGGAGCCGGCATGTCAGGACCCATCAGGAGTATTTAACCCCAGTCCACTCATTCTCTCTTCTGTCTGGTGACACTGTCGCCAGCCATCTGAAAGCTGTTTCCCGAGACCCCAATGGTGCCCCCTGGAAAGCGGGAAACCTTTCTAAGACAGCTAATGATTCTCTGAGCCCAAAAGGGCAGAGAAAACTCAAGAAACAGACAGCATGACATATCAATCACCATCACAGCCTGTGGAATTTCCTCTAGCTTAACTGAAAAACAAAACTCATCAAAGCCCACTTCCCCCCATGTTTCAGTTTCTGAGACTGACAACAACAAAAAAAGGACAAGAGAGAAAAACAATTCAAATATATTCTTGTTCTAATTCCTGCCTCCTCAAGGAGCTGATACAGGAGGTAGAGCAAAGACTCACCTGTGACTGCCACTCCCATGCCGGGAAGGCGCAGCCTTCACATGAAACTTCCAGAAAATCAGAGGCACAGCCGGGAGCTGGTGGCTCACGCCTGTAATGCTACTCAGAAGGCTGAGACCTGAGGATCATGGTTCAAAGCCAACCCGGGTAGGAAAGTCCATGAGACTCTTATCTCCAATCAACAACCAGAAGTGGCTGTGTGTCTCAAGTGGTAGAGTGCTCACTTTGAGCTGAAGAGCTCAGGGACATCGCCCAGGCCCAGAGTTCAAGTCCACAACTGACAAAAAAAGAAAAGACCACCAGAGGCACCAAATGCCTCTCGTCTCATGAGCCACTAGTACTGCCTGACTAGGATGCTGTGTTGAGAAGGATGCTGAGGCTCCCCAGGAAAGCACATCAAGACCCATTAGTAATGTCTGCTGAGTGAAGACCCAGGTAACACAGCAACAAATCTGCCTACCTTTGCAGAAGCAAGGGCTACATTCCACCTTTGCACCCCCACCTCACAGCACAGTGCCTAGAGCCAAGTGTACACATAGTGTGCATGCATGCAAAACCCAGGACTATTGTCATAGAAACACAGAGCATACTGCTCCCTCCATATGTGCACGGTGCCATGCTGTGCCTGGAAATTCTGCCCATGGGAAGCACTAAAAGTGCTACCATTTGTCTCAGGCACAAAGGGAGACAATATTTCAGACAGGTGCAGCAATCTAATCAAGGTCATAGACAGCCAAGTACCATTGCCCCATGCCTCCCAGAAGCCTCAAGGCTTTCAACTAGAGGAACATTGCTTCCTTACTTGGCAATGTCTGGGGGATATCTTGGGGTATTGCACTGTGCGGGGGGGGGGAGGAGTGTGCATGTGCGGGGGGGGTGTATCCTACAATCTAGTGAGAGATGGCCAGAGAAGCTGGTTCAATATCCTGAAATACACAGACATACCCCCTCCTCCCACCCTCAAATGGCTCAAAATGTCAGCCAAGACTGAAAATTCCTAATTCTCAGCCAGGCACTGATGGCTCACACCTGTCATCCTGGTTACTCAGGAGGCTAAGATCTGAGGACCATGGTTTGAAGCAAGCCTAAGCAAGAAAGTCTGTGAGACACTTAGCTCCAATCAACTACCAAAGATACAGAAGTGGAGCTGTGATTCAAGCGGTACAGCACCAGCCTTGAGTAAAAATGTTCAAGGACAACCCCCAGGTCCTGAGTTCAAGTTCCAGAACTGGCACAACAATTTTAAAAAATAAGGAAAAGAATTCCTGTTTCTCTAACTAACTCTTCCCTAAGCACCATCATGACCACTCACCAAAACAATCACCAACACCAAACAGCAGCTGGAGCTGCAGAGGACTTGAGAGCACAGAACCGACCCTTCAGATAGGGTCCACACGTCCCAGATTCTATTCTCAAGGACAGCGCCCTTCCAGAAGAGCACACAAGATCAAGCAGGGTGGTTTGATCTCCCTTCCCAGTGGCTTCTGTCAGCTACATCACACATCAAGTATGGTCTCCCAGCCTCAAGTCCTCAGAGCTCTACGTGGGCGTGCAGACTTGAACATGAGCAGCCTTGCTTTACTTTCTTTGGGTTTCAAACAATTTACTCCTGGAAGCCTTAAGAGCAAAGAGAACCTATTGGAAAGGAGAACAGAGAGGTAATCCATGAGAATCAAGGCCTTCTCTTAGCAGAGAAGGAGAATCACATTTCCAGCAATTTAACCAATCCTGAGACTGCTGTTAAACAATCAAAGCACTTATTAAAATGTCTCTGTGCCCACACAGAAGGCCTTTTCTCTCCCTCGTTTTCTGATAAGAAGTCCTGTAGACATGGACACAGGATGCTGCACATCCCAGCTGCCTGTGGGCTTGGGGGGAGAGTCACAGACATTTCTTCTTAAATATTTTCATTTCCTGTGCCTAGAATGATAAAGCAATGGATGCAGGAAGGTTTCTTCTTCTTTTGCATGAGTCTACAGATGTCTCTGCCCTCTCAAAAATGAATACTTCGCAACAGAAGGGGAATAACCTAGCAGCCTGGCCTTGGTAATCACCTTGGTAGTCAGAAAGACACACAGAACTCCTACCAGAAGAAACCAGTGTTAAACAAACCTAGCAGCCTGGCCTTGGTAACCACCTTGGTAGTCAGAAAGACACACAGAACTCCTAACAGAAGAAACCAGTGTTAAACAAACCAAGTGTCCATACGATGTTAAGCTTTATAATGAAAATCTCAGACTCTGTCTTGCCTAAAGTCAGGCTAATAAAGAGGTGGGCACTGGGAAAGAACACAGAAGTGTGAACACAAAGACATCAGTAAAACTTGGTGATAAGGAACTGAAGGCAGGGGAAGAGAAAGAAATGGAGAAGATCTGGGTTACCAGTGGCTCATGCTTGTCTGCCTTAGCTACTACATGGGAGGCTAGAAATGGGAGGAACGTGATTTGAGGCTAACCTGCACAGAAAACTTCATGAGATTTCCCTCTCAACTGTTATCTGGGCATAGTGGTGCATACTTGTCATCCCAGCTGGTGGATGAGAGTCAAGGAACACACGCACATGCACATCTCACACACACACACACACACACACACACACACACACACACATACTTAGAGGTGTAGACTGTAAGTAGAGCAACAGTTCTGCAAAGCACTCAGTTCAAACCCCAGCTGCAAAATAAAAAGAAGAAGAAGAAAAGTGGGAAGAAGAAAAACAATCACAGATCTGTTTTATGTTCGGTCTTACCCTATCCTAAACATTATTTCAAACCAAGCCAGTCCAATAGCATTATGTGACATATTAATTCATCTCCCAATCTGACGGAGTGCCAGCCATTATCATTCGCCCTCACTTCAACCACAGAAAGTCAAGAAGTTAGACCATTTGTTGAAAGCGAGTAAAAGCCAGGACTTGAATTCTGAATTCAGGTCACAAAACCCGGTCCAATAAACAACAGCCAGTCTGTCTGTGTGGTTTTGAGCCACTAGGTTTGTGGTCTTTTGTTGGAAGAGCTGGAAGAAACTATCTGGCCCCTGTGTTGTGCCAGACATGGTTTTAGGAACTCAACAGGTGACAGGAAAATATCACCACGTTTTGAG